TAGATAGATAGATAGATAGATGTGATCACTTGTCCAAATGAGTCCGGCCCACATCAAACTGAGCACAGAGACAAAAAGAAATTCTGACATATGTAAAAACCCAAACTGCTGTAACTTTGGTAAAAAAGGTACTCATGAAGGACCAGCAGATTCAGAAAATATGTACATGTGGAGCAGTGACGTCATCCGGGAGATTGATGCATTTGCTGTGACCACAGCGTGGTGATACGCAAAACACAAATAAAAACCAACAACTTGAGAGCAGTCATTTAGTATTCAGGAATTCCTATCAGCTGGAGTAAAACCCTGCAAAGTTGTTTTGATATTAAATGCAGTATTCAGACTGCATCTTTAGTTGTAAATAAACTCTCCCTCACTCAATTTTGTACTCTGAAAACTATCTATGTAGTGAATCTACTGAAATGGAGCAGGTATTCTTAACATACAATGCCCATTTAAGGGTTCATTTTGATGAAGACTAAAGTCTAATGTGCACAAAATAGGACACTGTGAATGGAACCCTAGCAGGCGGTAATGTTAAAGCAGTGCTGTGTTGTATAATGGCTACAGCTGTTGAAACCATCATACTGAAGACATCTATGGCTACATTAACATGCTCATTGTATTTCAAATGATAGTTAATGACCCACTTAAAGTGCTTTTCAGTGTTTATATTAGAGTTCTTCTAATAGAGACTTTCGTTTTTTCATTGATCGTGGGTCCATTACTGGTTTAATTTGCAGCCAATAATTGATATTTTGCATTTTTCACTATTTAACATTCTACTCAATGTAAGGAATGTTTTTGTGTAGCCTAAACAGACTACCAGTTCAAAGCTGTTGAATAAAATACCTTCAGACAATTCATCCATCTGAGATAGAAATAAAAAAAGACACTGTCTAGCTGTGGTCAAGGGGGACATCCATCATTTTGGAGCTTGACAGCAGTGACTGTCTGGTGCTTTATTCTGATTAAACACCAAACCAATAAAATGCTACAGCCTCAGTTTGTATACAAAATGTGACTTCATAACACACTCAATCAAGATAAGTTCTTATCCCAGCTATTAAGATTACTTTTTACAATTACGAAATCACAGAGAGGAAAGACATGAAAGATGGGATAAAGAGATAAGTGTGGCATGTGACATAGACTCCAGGCTGAATTCTGTCCGTCAGCCAAATGAGCAACCAAGAAGCCTCCCCAAATCCAGCATTGTAATTATGTTGCCTCATGTTCAGCTCTGCACAAAGGTTACCTGGTCAAACTATAATAATGGTACCTCCATGTTGTCTTCTGGTCCAAAGATTAAACATAATCATCTTTCTATCATGAAAAATGTAGCTATTCACTGCTGTCTGGATGGCAGATGGCACTGCGATAGCAATTTATTCATGTTATAACTTGTGGGAAAGATGCAACAAATTGGGTTTCTGTGGACTACTGAGCAAGTCAGATCACAGCATAAAGTTCAGGTGATCATATTACGGGACAGCTTTGAGCAGCTTTCCTTGTAGATAAATCTAGTTTATGTACAAGAATTTTTTTTGTGGCTACAAGGACCCAGGAATTACAAAACTATCCAAAGCTGAAATATGTGTTCTGTACTACAGAGAACCAGAGGCTGTGTTCATAATCAGTCCCTGGAGTTGTGTGTCTTTCTCTGAGAATAATATTCAGAATCACAACGGTGCAGAGGTAACACTGAATTAACAGCTGCTAACACTTGCTTTCATTTTAAGGCTTAATCCAAGCTCACAGGCCCACACAGCTAGTTAGCTGGCTAGTTAAGAAGCATGTGTCCAGTGTGTAGCATTTGGTGGCATTCAGCATTGTATTTGCAGATTGCGACTCTTTCCCTTCACCCTCCCCTTTTAAGTACAAGGAGAAACTACGGTGGCCCTATCTAGAGCCATTGGGTTTGTCAGTTCTGAACTACTTTAGAAACATGGCGGTTCAACATGGCGGCCTCCAAGGAAGACGACCCACAGCTTCTTTAGATATTAAAGATTAATTCTAAGGTAACAAAAACAAAACTATACACACACAATTAACAACACAATTATTTCATGTCTAAATTATTTATTCAGTGTTGTGCACTGAATCACAATAAATTTTAAACCCACCCTCCCACTGTCCACCCTACTTCCATTACCTATATTTGCCATCTCAGGCACGGTGGCGCTGTAGGGGCCTTCGTCAAAGATAGGTGGGTTGTCGTTTATGTCCTGCACCCGAATTATGAACTGTGACGAGGGCTCCAGGGCACGGTCCGTCTGCCTGTCGGTGGCCGTGGCTATGAGGCGATACTCGTCCTTCTCCTCACGGTCCAGTGGCTTGGTGACGTGGATGTTCCCCGTCTTCTCGTCTATCACAAAGACCGAACCCGCCCCCTCGCCTCGCAGGACATACTTAGTGCGTCCATCATTCCTGTCCATGTCGGTGTGGAGCTAGGTGAAAGAGGATGGAAAGAGAGGGGAAAAAACATGAATAAAAGACAGAATGAAAGCAAGAACAGAAAGAGAGAAATAGAAATTGGAAGAATGTGCGAGGTAAGGATAGACAGGAACATAAAGGGTGGAAAAGAAAGACAAGAGTGAACACCAGTTAAAAATTAAGTTTGTTTTTCGAGACAGGCAGTGAAGACAAAACAAGCAGATTATCCTCTGCATGCCTCCAGGATATAATGAATTTAAACAGAGGCAGACAAAAGAAATACGCACAATACCTCTCTCTCTCTCATACACACACTTTCCTCCCATTGTACTGTGTCTCATCTCTCTATTCCTGCAATATGAGCAGTTATGAACCAGGATCTCCTTAATCTCAATGATATCCCGAACGCACACTCTACTGCTCACTCTTAAAGCCTCTTTTCACTTCCTAGCAGCTGTGGACGGCAAGAGTTTACTAGTCTGTGCACATGCAG